ACCTCCTACTTTACATATATTTGCCTTAAAATACGTGAAAAAGCATACGGGTCAATTAATTTGATACCGATGGAGTATTTGGTATAGATGAATACATAGATGAGGTGTAACCCAACCGGTTAGTGCTGACGCACTAAGGTCCATATAGGGATAAAGCTGGTCCGGTTCTGGTCCCCGTTCTGATCGATTATGTTCCCAATTAATAAGATCAGAACTGACCCGGAAAACAAGCGATTCAGTGCTATGTTAATTAACTTCTTGTGTTGTACTGCAGACCTTCAACCAATCATGGAAACAAATGAGTATTTCAAGAGATGAAGCGTCGTTCTATAGTCAGTCAAAACATTGCGCCTTGGCTAAACTCTTAATCCACAACAACTGTTGAAAAACCGGCATTGACAACACTTATGGGGAACATCCATTCGTGGCTCTTCCACCATAGGAGAATGTCAAAGTCGTCCGCTTCAATATACTTAACGGGAAATCTTAGAAAAAAGAAACCTCGTAAAAAAGAAGAAGAAGCTCGTTAATCGAGCTGTGTGCACCAGCAGAAGTAATTTTTTTTCTCAAAAGATTAGATAGTGTTGATTTAAAAAGACATTTTCCATTAGACGAAGAAGTAGCCGATTTCGGGGGAGGGGATATTTTACCATATTGTGTATGAAACTCATTAAATAAATTGTGAAATAGATTACTAACATCGTTTAATTGGGCTTGAAGATCTATAAAGAAGTCCTCGTACATAAGGTAGTCACTGTAGAAACCAGTATAATAGTACTCTAAAAATGTTTGATAATTTCACAGTCTCAAACGAGGATAAAAAATAATATTTTAAAAACATTTCCTTCATGAAAGCACAAAAATAATGAACAAGAGTGGACTAGGAAAATTCTTGAAAAGCACCGGCGAGATTAACATCTTCTATAAAAATTTCATTACTAGTACATTTATAAACATGAAAAAAAGTTTGAGTAGCATTATCAAAATAGACTACAACGTTGCAAAATTTTTCATCGGGTCGATCTCAACCGGTTATATAATGGGTGTGTTTGGCATTCAGCGGTTAGCGGTTGGCGGATAGTGGGTTATGTTAGCGGGTTGTCAATAGCGGATTTAGTCAGAGGGTTTGATTAGCGAAATAAATTGGCGGATTGTTAGAAGATGTTTGGTAATTTAGCTGTTTGGCCATAAAATTAGTAGAAAACGTCATTTTTCAAAACGTAAACCCAAAACTCTCCTATTGGCAGCGTTTTCGTCCAAAAACGCTAGTGCCGAACCGCCATTTACCAAACAGCTTTTTCACTTATTGAAAACGATGAAAGTGGTCGAATCGTCATTTTTCGGCTGAAACGCCGTTTACCAAAAACCCCCAATATAATTACAAGTTTCTTTCATAAAAGTAGGGAAATGATTTTTAAATTATAAATTCTATTCCAACGAATAGAAAGATTTTTCTTCACTCGGGGGGGGGGGGGGGGGGGGGGGGGGGGGCTCCCAGAGTGAATCGGTGACTAGCTGAGCTGAACTTCTTCCTCTTTCAACAAAAGAAAGGATCTTTAGGAAAAGCACAATATTTAACACGTTTAGATTTCAAATAAGCACGTCACTACATTTTAAGTTGAGTACTACCTCAAATCATTCTAATAGTCCCCTTAACTTTCTTCATCACACTTCCTAATGCAGCTAGGCCATCTTTCACGCATAAATTAATTCTGAGTAATATGACATGCACAACGTTGATGAAAAATTTACGGGAAAGTTCCCGAAATAGGACTAAAACAGTTTGAAAATTCCAAAATAGGACTGTCATGTTTTTTATTCCCAAAATAGGAGAAATTACTGTCATGTTTAGAAAATACTGTCATGTTTGAAGTCTCGTACTGCCAAAACATGGCAGTAATTATTCCTATTTTGGAAATAAAAACATGGCAGTCCTATTTTGGAATTTACAAACGTTTTTAGTCCTATTTAGGGTAATTTCCCAAAATCTACCCATCAAAGTAAAAGAACCGTATAATCCACGTAATCTAGGTCCAACGGCAGTATTATTAGTACCATTATCAAAACTAATAGCAAACACTTTATCAAGCAAATAATATTCGATTCAAATGTTGGAGGAATTTAATATTAATTGAATATTCATCAACCATTAAAATGTACTGTTATGGACCAATACCAGTATGTCTTTCATTAAAATCTCAAAAAGCGATAACTCGTTTATGCATTTGTCAATCATCATCAATCCAGTGTTCAGTCACACCTAAATAATACAAGTGATAATAGATTAATAGATATCTTCCCATATATCACTACAAACGGTCACACACCCATTAAAATTTGCAAAAAATTGAATTAATTTTTCTTTTTCCAAAAGATATTGTTTAATAACTTGTCTTTTAATTGTTTTGCGACTATAGTTTCTAAATTGTGGATATAAAGCACCTTGAAAATTATAATTAGATATAAATACATATAATTACAATTGATGTAGAGAGATTTAGGGGGGTGTATTCAATATGGATTGTTGTGGACTTTTTTTAATCCATGGACTTTTAAAAAAGTCAATGGACTTTTAAATCCATAGACTTTTTTATGAATGAATTCTATGGACTTTTAAATCCATGGATAAGTTTATTGACTTTCAAAAAGTCCATAGACTTTTAAATGCGGACCGCCACTGCTGGTCGTCAAAATTTTCACCTAGATTGTCGCTACCGATATGCCTGTGACCTGTCCGCATCCATCACCGGAGTTCCCCGCTGTCGTCATCGGACTGACGCGTCACCAACAAAATGGCTTTGGTTGTGAAAGGGAACTAGGGACAATTAATTATATTAATTAATTAATTAAATTAGGGGTGAATATGTAATATTTATTCCCACTTAAGAAAAACCAAACATTTAATCATACTTTAAGAATAATGCTATGTTTTAGTCCTACCGTGAGTGATTTCCTCTATATAATACGGAGTACGATAAGAAATAAATAAGTAAGTAAATAAATAAATAAATAAATAAATAAATAAATAAATAAATAAATAAATATATAAATAAATAAATAAATAAATAAATAAATAAATAAATAAATAAATAAATGAAAAATTGTAATTCATATAGCAACACAAAGTTCTACAAAAATAAATGAAGCATAAGAATTCAAATTTATTTTTATTAAAAAAAACTCAAAGTTTCAAGAATGCTCGAGAATTTTGGCCATTTTATTAATGATTAAGAACATTAATCGTTACACAAGCATTACACTCATTGCTACATGTGGTACAAGCATACATGCAATCGAGCTTTTCTACTTAGTGATTGTTTTCTTTTAACTTCTATCTTGTAAAAACTTGTATATGTATTTATGGTTATATATTTATTAATTTGAAATTATATTTTTATGTGTTAAGAGATTTAACGATGAAAGAAAGTGATAGTTAAAATATTTATTTCCTTAATGGTTAACTGATGACATATCAGAATTGCATTGATGTAATACTATCGATTCTTATATCGGTTCTTCTAGAAACTTCTAGAATCGAATTAATATAGGATTACTGAATCGAGGGGGGTGGACTGGGGACGGCAAGCTAAAGAAGAAGAATGGAAGGAGAGGGGTGGGCGAGCTGGGTTGAAGAAAAAAAAGAAGAAAGATTGAAGAGGAAGGTGTGGCTTGGCTAAAGAAGAGTAGAGTTGGGGGAGGGGGGGAGTAGGCTTGGCCCGAGGCCGGTCTGACTGGCCCGGGACCCGGCCCGGCCCGCCACTGTGCGGGTCCGACCCGGCCCGTTGGATCGGTACCGGTACCGGGCCTAGGCCCGACCCGGGGGGATTAATTGGGGCGGTTCCAGAACTGCATATTTGAGGAACAGCCCGGCTGGTTCGGGCCCGGTCCGGGCCTTATTTGTTTTTTTTTGTTTTTTTTTTGGGGGGGGGGGGGGGGTTGGGCCTATGGTAGGTAGGCTAGGTGTTTTGGAGGGGTTTGGGGGTGAGGGTTGGAATATATAAGAAAACCGAAAAAAATGAACCAGCCCGGCCCAATCCGGAACTGGCCCGGCCCAACCCGGAACTGGCCCGGCCCGATACCAGTAGACTCCCGGGTTGGTCCCGGGCCTTACCCAAAAAATTCCAAGCCCGGCCGGGCCCGACTCGGAACAGAAACCGGGTCTGGCCCGGTCCATCCCTAGGAGGGAGGGGAGGAATGGGGTGGGACGGGATGAAGAACCGATATAAGAAAAGTCCACGGAAATCTTTGGTGAGGAGAAGAGACAATTGCAGAGAATTTTTGCACTAAAAATGAGTTAAAAGTCCACGAGAATCCATGATTTTAGAAGTCAATAAGAATGAACGGAAATTTGAATACGCCTAGACTTTTATAGACTTTTAAAAGTCCGCATTGAATACACCTAGACTTTTGTGGACTTTTAAAAGTCCACATTGAATACACCTAAACTTTTAAAATACATGGACTTTTAAAATTTTGCCACTAAATCCTAATACAATACACCCCCTTAGAGAATAAGAGTAGAGGATATAGAGAATTAAATAATAGGAGTATGAGAGAATAGGTGTAGAAACTTTTTTGTAATAGGAAGTATTTGTAGATTTTTTAACCCTCCACCCCCCCCCCCTCGAAAAACCACCCCCTAACGGTTTTATAGCCGTTAATAGCCGTTGCAAGTTGCAAGAGTGCGACCACATAAAAATTGGTCATGGGTTAGGTAACAGTCGAACCAGACCGGAACCCATATTTGAAATTGACCGTGTAGTTCCAGTTCTTTTTTTCTATTTTTTTTTTTTTTTTTGTAACAATAGGTTGAAAATTCCACCTTTACCCTACCCAGAACCAGCCGATCCAGAAGTCTAGGACTGGTTCCACATCACTCCTGGTTAGCTTCAATAGTTCCACAGTGCACCTGGCGCTAACCTCATCCCTACATCACTACATGCTTCTAGCTTAGCATGAGGATTGAAGATATCAATTAAAATAAAGAAATAAATAAATACTAGTAATACTCCGTCAGTCCGTAGAAACATAATACATATAGAAGAATATGAGAATCAAAAGATGTTTCTTGTAAGCGCAGAAAGATTCCAACAATTAGTTTTCTGTGCATTGTTTGTTGGCTCCTTTTCAGCAATTCACGTGTATATAACACACACTTTCAGGTGCCTCCGTACATCTTATTGCCATATCTAAGATTCAGCATGCTTCAGTCTTTTGCCTAATATGTATGCTGTCCCAATACCAAGTTCCAAGAAAGTGGGAAACTAAAAAGCCTACCAATCTTATTTAGCTGCAACTCGCAAGTCACGAGAGCAAAATGAAAGACCGACCATTTACAGAGCTCTAGAAAAGTATAAAAACCATTCTATGACTGAGACAGTTTTTAATGAGCTGTGTTGAGTAAGAGCCTCTCAATGGCGGCAACATAGAACTCCTTGGGCATGGTACCAATGACAGAATCACACTTCTCTCCCTTGTTATTGAACAGCAGCACCACCGGAACCGCTTTGATGTCATAATTCTCAGCTATTTGCACGTCCTTGTCTGCATGGAGTACCAAGCATTTTATCCTACCCGAATAATCGGCTGCGATCTCATCAACCACCCTATGGACCATCTGGCAGGGCCCACACCAACTAGCATAAAACTCTACCAGTACAGGCGTATCGCTAGCCAGAACTAGTTTGTCCCATGACTTACCAGTCACTATTGCAGCTGTAGATCACCAGAGGAAAAAAAATCAGTGAACATAAAAACATTCTCGCCGTGCTCAGTTTCCATGCAATAGCCAAACACAATTGGTACTACTAAGATAACCTAGCACAATTCTAATCCATCAACATAGAAGAATACAAAATACAAAAGAAAGTAGCAGTAAAGGAATACAAAACATGCCTTGACATAACAACCATGACTCATGAAAAATTATCAAAAGAATAACTGTGGTTCAGATAACACCAACTTCTCCCTCGGTACTTTTAACAACATTAGTATTACACCTAACCTATCCAGCCCATCCTACCATTTGACATTACCAACCGTATTACTAATCATAAACTCAAGAGTTAAGTTTTTCATGAACTCCAGTCAGGCTATATAGTGAAAGTAAACCTTTCACTAAGCCCTTTTGAAACACATTGTGCAAAGAATCAAATAGCTGCACAATTCAGGGGCTGTTTTGGTTCAATTCTACAATGGTGATGAAATGATTTATTAGTGGTTAGTGATATGATTTTAATTAGGATGTTTTTACTTGGACTGTAATTTGTTGGTCTGATCTGGTCTGGTAATGTATGGTCTCTTTGTATTTTTATAACTATCCAAGTCCGGTCTGGTCTGATCTGGGACTGAAAACAGTCCAAGTAAAAACATCCTTAATGCGGGAGGATAGTTATTAAAGATAGATGAAAGATAAAGAAGTTGAGTGCCCCATTATTGTATACTGTATACAAAGCACCGCCAATGGAAATGAGTCTATTAGCATTACTATTCACCATTTCTATCCCCCACCTGACCCTAAAACCAAGCACTTCCTCAGTGTACTTCGATAAATCGATAATATACAAAAGTAAAACATACATCTACGGAAAGGCATATTTACAAGTTTAAAAAATGGAGACAACATTCAACTATAAGGCATCCCCCCACCAGAACCTGTTTTGAAGCAAAGGAAAGATATACTCCGTATCTAAATAAAGAACCCAGCAAGAAAGAACATCCGGCAGCTGATAAAAAGAAAATAGACCATGTGAACTCACAATGGTTCATTGTTTCCCGGTGCTTTCAATTCTGATTGAACATCACTTTAATGTTTTAATTTCTTCCATTTTCATGATCTGTGTTTCTTGATAAACGTGCACACATTGTTTCTTGTTGAAAATAAATCCTCTCAATTAGAATGAGAAATATTTTTAATCATATATGAGTGGCATGGGAAACTTGTAACAATATCCAATCCAGTAAGAACTGATCCATGGCAATCTGGCTATGAATCCTAAGAAGAAAAGGGTATGCAACTATGCATCAACAATTTTACTAAGAAAACTAAGGCAATTTCACTTTTAAGAAAGGTGAGGCAGTAAATCCATCCAAGCAACTTAAAGACAAAGCAAGTGTCATGTCAGTAGATCTATGAGTAAAAAACATAAAACATTGCAAAAAGTTATATAATTGGCTCTGTCTTTAAGCAAAGGAGACGATAATAACTAAACGATCATTAAGGTATTCTCTGATTAAAGGAAAAGTTAGCAAGACCCATTCAAAAGAATAAATAACAGAAGATAGAAGGAACCAGTCAAAAGATTATACCACAGGTTTTGTGGCCTCATTGGTGAAATACAATAAAAGTTATAATGGACATCTCGTATAAAATAATGTTCAAAAGATTTTTAAACTAGCCATGATTTTGAATAAATATTTTATAATTCTTATAATACCCTCTTCAGTTCTGTAAAAATTATTGGTGAAACCCACCCTGCACCCACGCACACTACCTAAGAGGCAACGAGTGTACGTGGTTACAGTCTTACAAAGTGGGTATCCCTAACACTTCTTGAATGAGTAGAAGCACCCATTGGGAGGCATCAGCTAGGTGCCTGTGGTCACAAGAGGGTATGCTGGAACACATTGTCAATGTCTAAACACACTAATCTACCGCCACAGCCACCCACTCAGTGATGTGTGATCATGGCCACAATATGAAACTTTCACCTACACGAAATGAAAGGCATACTGATGAGATGCATACAAATGGAAAAGTTATTTTAAAATAGTCATTCCTTCCCTCATATACAATCAAGGGAGTGTTTGGAATTGATTCTGCCTCTGCTTCTTTTTTAAAGCAGAAGCAGAATCAGAATCACTTATGCACTTTCACCCAAACACCCCCTAAATGGGGTTGGAATCCACTCTTCTTATACTGATCTAAGCTTTGTCATGTAGCCTTCTGTGCCCTAATTTCTACATATCTTCCTTTGCCACCATTCCTCTTAACCCGACAGGCTATTAAAAGCCCAAAAAGAATGGATTCAATAAGTTTAAACAGAATAACAGGCGCTTCTAGCGAAAACACGACGCATTACTATCGAACTCGAGATGATTATTGAATCAGATCACGACATCTGCTCCTTGAAACTGTATTGTGAAATGTTCGGAACACTTATTATCATGTACATATACCTAAACACATACTCCGTATATCATTTGAAATCCACAATGAGAGTGGAATGTGCACACCGTGTCGAGAGAGAGGTCAGTTTCTAAACCTTTGGAGTCGCGTAAACAGGAGACGCGCAAATGGGCGGCGGGTAGATATTTCAAGCGCCTCTTGAGTGGTAATGGCCCGATGTTGAGATTCACCTTCTGCTGAAAGGAGGACGGCGGAAAACGCGGAGAACGGTGGCAAAGAGGCGTCTGTTGAAATGGTGAAGATGCATGGGTGACACAGCTCGAAGCCATTTCCACTATGATAACCGGTTATATGAAACGGCTCGATTACAGCACCAGTTCACTGCTTCCAGGTCCCGAATTCCCGATTTCCACCGTCAGATTTCTCTTTACAATACACTCCGAGGTGAGGACACCGGAATAGAAAAACAGTTCCCGGTGAAACTGTAACAGAAATAAGAACGATTGGTTTTAGAATGGGATAAGGGTGATTTTGGTCTTAAGTTGCAAAAAAGGGGTCAAATAAGTCCTTATATAGAAGATTCTGTCTGAACGTGCCATTTGAGGTGACTCCCGGTGCAATTTTTTGATGAAATTTTTTGAGCATCTTATTCATTAAGTCTAGTTTACTCATACCAAATTTCAGATAAAAATTCAATGGAGAAGACATTCAAATGAATTTTTGAAGATAACTGTGTCGTTAAAAGCGTTGTTATCTTCAAGAATTCATTTGAATGTCTTCCCGATTGATTTTTTAGCTGAAATTTGGTATGAGTAAACTAGACTTAATGAATAAGATGCTCAAAAAAATTTATCACAAAATTCAACCGGGGGCCACCTCAAATGGCGCGTCCGGACAGAATCTTCTATATAAGGACTTATTTGACGTCTTTTTTGCAACTTCGAGTACCAAACTGACCCTTTACTCGTTTTAGAATTAGGCCGCCTTAATTGGAATAGACTATTCCAGTTTGGACCGATTTTGAGTCGGACTGGTCCAGTAGACCGAAACCATATCAGTTTCTATTTCGAAAATGATTCTTCAGTTTGAATGGATTAATAATAAAAAAAAGTATACAGTTAATAAAAAGGATGGTTGATATCAAAGATCACACTGTATTACAAGTAAAAAAAAAAAGCATTAACTATTCACATTAAAAAAAACTATTCCGGTTTGAGTTTTCAATATTGATCCTATTGTAAAAAATGTAGAATAAATTTAAATTGTTTGAATAACTTTTTGCCATAAAAGTATAAAACGTTAACGTTTAATAAATAAGTGGTGTAAAAAGGAATACTTTATACGTAGTACTACCTCCGTCCCACTAAGATTGGGACGAGAGAAGGTGACACGATTATTAAGAAAAGTAGGTTTGTGTGGTGAATATTTAATTGATATAGTAAGAATAAAGTTAGAATGATTTAGAACCACAATCTTTACCAAATATGGTATCAGACAATTTTAGTGGGACTTCCTGAAAAGGTAAAATGGGACAATCTTAGCGGGACGGAGGGAGTATCATTTAGGTGACATGTCAAAACTTCAAATAATGTTAATTATGTAAATTACCAAAATCGCATAATGATATGGTCTGGAATAATCATTTTTTTAGCATTACAGGTGATCAATGTTGGAGCAGCTGTTTTATTAGGGTGGCGGGCAGGATAGGACACCAAGAAACCGGGGTGGAGATGCAAAAGAGAAGCAGGGGCGGATCTAGTATTGTTATTCAAGTGGGGCCAAAATTTAGTTAAGTTTTTTTTCAAAATTATTTTGCTAGTAGTAAAATAACACTTATTTACACAAACATGATTAATAGTTACTACAATGTAGTGTCATAGTAACTTAAGTTTAAAAGTTAAATATAAGTTACTATGATTTCATTACTACTCTAATTATTTGTCATGTTTTTAGGCAATCTTTATTTCGGTCAAATATATGTAATTATCTCTTTAATTAAATACTGTAACGTATGTATATTGCAAAAAATGTCAAAATCTAGCAAAATAGTACTAATATGTTACGGAGTATTTAACAAAATTTATTTTCAAATACTACAGATGACCGATGAAAGAGAAGAGATGTTTATGGGTCGCTAGAGATCATAATGGCGAACTCATCAAAGACAGTTGTGAAGCTTCTATAGCCGACTGGTCAATAAGGATTGCAGAGACTATTGGAGTAAAGGAAGCAATCACTTGAGCAAAAGGTCAATAATAGGACCGATCGAGTCATTATAGAGATCGATACTCAAAATGTGACAATATATCTCTAGGAAGGTGCCCCTAAACTTGCTAGGGAAACATTAGATGCACTGTCACATGCGGGTAGTAGTCATTTTGATATTAGTTCGAGTTGTATTCTTGCCCATTTGGCAAATGACCATTTGAACTAATAAAAGTTAATTATTTTCACTCAAAAGAAAAAGATCATAAATATTAAGATTAGATCATTAAGATCGAGATCAAAATATCAAATAATAAAGAGTCAGATCAAAAAAATTCATATTACATCAGAAAAAATCAAACCAGATTATATAAAAAAAATCAAATTAATCACACCAGATAAGAAAATTTTAGATAAGATTACACCAAATTCAAAAAAAAATAGAAAGATTCAAATGAAGCAAACAGAACTTCTAAAAATGGAACTTTCTATCTGGTCCCTAATTCCATATTTTTGTCAAACAAATTTTTAATCAAAATATATATTTTTAGGTGATCTCAGTGTTTCCCTCTCTAGGACGGATTTCCGTCGCTAGAGTTCGTTTCTCCGCATTCGTCTCAAACGAAGTGCAGCCATCGTATGTACGAGGCTCCGGTTTCAATTCTGTTTGAGAGTAGACGGTGCAGGCAGTGGTCAGTAGGCAAACTGGTGCACGTTGGGCCTGGTTTCGTGGTGTTCTGGTAGGGGGTTTCGTTCATTTTCAATTGCAGGCGCAACACAAGGTGTGGGAGTTGGTCTCGGTCTGGTAATGAGGGTTTCATGGAGGATATTGTGAATCAGTACAAGCATATGGTTATTGGAGGAGAGGATGGCGAGTTGAATTTTGATGACGAGGTATCTGAAGAGGTTGAAGCGGACGAGAAGAGATCGAGCGCTATTCCCGGTGGTTGGCATCATTCTCTCCGACAGGAAATTCAAGTTTCAGGTCTTTAAGGAACTGATGGCTTCTCTACGACGTCCTGGCAAAGGTGTGTTTATCAAAGAAATAGGCGATAAAACGTACATCTTTACTTTTTATCATATTGTGGATATGAAACGTGTTTTAAAGGATGGTCCATGGCTGTTTGAAAGGAATTTGTAGCTTCTTAAGGAAGTAAGGTCAGAGGATATTCCTCTCAAATGAAGCTGAATGAAGCAAAATTTTGGGTATCATAACATACCATGTGGTTTCATGAACTTAGGAACTGCTAGGAGGGTGGGCAATTATATAGGTAAGTTTATTAGCTTTGATGAAAGCCAGTTTGAAGAAAAATGGGAAACTTATATGAGAAGTAGAGTATGCATGGATGTTGGAAAGCCTCTCAAAAAAGGATCACCCCTTAAGAAAGAGAGTATTGGGTACTGGGTAGATTTCAAATATGAAAATCTACCTAACTTTTGCTTTATATGTGGGGTGACTGGTCATTCTGATAAAATTTGTCCATTGAAATATGAGGACGACATAGTATTGGAAAAAACTTTTGGGTGGAACTTAGAACTGATGGAGGGGGAAGATTATTCCTACAAGAGGAAATAAGTGGATTGTTGAAAGATCCTCAAGTTCAGGGGCGGGGATGCAACTGAGGAAAGAGGGTTAGGAAGGCGAAGGCAGGGGAGGACAGGGATGGAGAGAGTCCACAACGGGCACATGTAATAGCATGACTAAGGAAGGGGACATGGGTAGCACTGAGGAGGTGCCGGGTGATCATAAACGCATGAGGATTTGGGAGGAGCAAGCACAAGAGGACCCAATGGGTGATAATATTACACTAGACAGATAAAAAACGGGGATACGACGGGTCCTGGTATCTAGACCAGCCGGAAGTACAGTTGGTGGTTATGCTCTCGAGGACGGACCAAGACTTTTATTTTATATTGCTTTTCTATTTTTTAATTTGCATGATGAGACTGTTTATTTCTCTTATTATTCTTTTTTTGCTATAAGACTTTTGCATTAAGATTGAGTGACATGAAGTCTGCTATAACCATTTTTTACTTAGTTGTGTCCATTACAGGATCAACGAGTTACGAGTTACACTGCTTCTTCAAAGGTGATTAATTCTAAGTCTGGTTCGAGAGGTGATGATGGTTTGTGATCCTTTTATTGTTTGAACCTCTGAATGCTATGATATCAAAATAAACTCCTCTCTTCCAAAAAATCCAGCCCCTAATCCCGAGTGAATGGTTTTTGGGAAAACTGTCAAATAGGTCCTCGAACTTTCATAAAAAAGTCAATTAAGTCCTTCTATAGGAGACTCTATCAGGTCGTCGTGATTTGGGGCGGTTCCCGGTGGAATTTTTTGATGAAATTTTTTGAGCATCTTATTCATCAAGTCTTGTTTACTCATACCAAATTTCAGCTAAAAATTCAATCAGGAGCGCATTCAAATTAATTCGAGAACGCAAAAATGCACAATTATCTTCAAGAATTAATTTGAATGTGTTCCCGATTGAATTTTTAGCTGAAATTTGGTATGAGTAAACTAGACTTGGTGAATAAGATGCTCAAAAATTTTCATCAAATAATTCCATTGGGAACTGCCTCAAATCGCGACGGTTGGACAGAACCTTCTATAGAAGGACTTAATTGACCTTTTTATGAAAGTTCGAGGATCTATTTGACTTTTATCCCATGGTCTTTTAGCTTGACTTTCACTCCTTTATTTTCATTCTCACCTGACAGGGCTGACCCCTTAATCCACGGCTCATCAAATCCAGAATACGTCTGACTTTTCGAACAGATCAAGCTTTCCCCTTCCTCTTTTCCCTCCTACCCGATGGTTGTCGTCGACGAATAAAGACCCCGAGAAACACACAGTAATAATACAAAACCATGGCCTCAGCTCTGCCATCTCAAAGGCTTCCGAAAACGGAAGATGGGCCCTCTTCGATTGGGTCACCGTCGTATTCCAATAGTCCAAAGAAGAGGTGGTTCAATTTGCTGCCATTGTTCGTAGCCCTGGTGGTTATAGCTGAGATCGCCTTCTTGGGTCGACTCGACATGGCCAAGAATGTTGACCTGGTCAACTCGTGGGCTGACTCCTTTTACCAGTTCACTGGCTCGTCTTGGCCATATGTCTCCAATGCCGACGATATTACCTCCGGCGGAGGTGAGGAGACTAGGGTTTCGGATGAGCTGGACTCTTTCACCGGATTGGAGAGCTGCGAGGAATGGTTGGAGAGTGAAGACACCGTTGCTTATTCTAGGGATTTTGAAAAAGACCCAATTTTGGTACACGGTGGGCAACAGGTTGGGTCCACATGCATGAAACCACATCAGTGGCTTTTTGTATCTCTATTTCCATTCGATTTTATGCGTAAATGCCATCAAAATTCCTATTCTTTACTGTGTAGGAATGGGAATCCTGTGCTGTTGGGTGTAAATTTGGGGCTTTCTCCGGCAAAAAGCCTGATGCTGCATTTGGATCTACCCAATCAGGTGGTACAGCTGGAGTGCTTCGGTCAATGGAGTCTGCAGAGTACTATTCTGAGAACAACATTGCTCAGGCAAGACGGTGGGTAAGCACACAGTTGAAGGACTCATCTTACTACAGATTATTGAGTTAAAGCTTTTGTGCCCATAGGTCCATAATCAATAAAGTCTCTGCTCTTTGTTTGGTTTTTCAGAACTTCTTTTTAAACTATTGCTTAGATTGAGAGCTTTTTGCTCTTTGACATAAGGAACACACATTTTTTTAGAGCATTAATGATATGCGGCTCGATATTTGTCACCTCGTAATGTTAACTAATTTTAGAAGGTAATTATTATTATATTTAATGACTCCATACCCAACATTGTAGGGGTCATGGTGGTTAAACTCATCTCAAAAACTATAGTGGCACTGAAAACAGAATTATAGAAACAAAGAATGCTTTTTATTGACTTCACAATTTCAGAACCAACACAATATCCATTGACCTATCATTCCTACCACTTCTGGCAAGAAAGGGCTTTCAGAGTTGACATAAGCACTTCATTAGCTTTTGAAGATGTCAATTGAGATCAACTCCATTGTGAATAAATATGTCTGTTTTCACTTTAACTTCTATGCAATAAATAGCTTGATAGATAGATTTTATTATCACACATTTTGATGATATGCAACTTTTTACGGAGTATATATTAAGAGTTAAGAAGTTTAAAGGTCTACTCAAGTACTGAAGTAATTGCTGTATTAACCTCTTTTTACCAGGAAGTGTCTAAAGTAACTAACATTTAAAACTGTATGGTTTATTAGGAGGGGATATGATGTTGTGATGACTACAAGTCTTTCTTCAGATGTTCCTGTTGGGTATTTTTCATGGGCCGAGTATGACATTATGGCACCAATCCAACCTAAGACACAGAAAGCTATCGCTGCAGCATTCATATCTAACTGTGGTGCTCGTAACTTTCGGTTGCAAGCTCTTGAAGCACTTGAAAGAGAAAGCATCAGCATAGATTCATATGGTAGTTGTCACCGGAACAAGAATGGTGATGGTTAGTACTCCCTTTCTTTCATTATCCTTGTCATTATTTTCTTTTTAACCCGTTCCATAAAGAATTTCCAATTCTGTCATTTGAATGCCCAAACCGTTTACTTTACCTCTTTACCCATACTTGTTACCACCTTTCAACTTTTTGAATTTTTTGACTAAGTAAACCTAATTTGAGTGCAATTTTTTTGTAAAGTACTTTAACTGTTTACACGTTTTCTTTAAAATCCGTACTAATACTCTAAAAGTACTGGTATCTCTTATGTGTTCGGGGGACAGACTTGGTGTATATTTCAATAACCATAAATATATGCAATTGTATGTAATAAAAATAATTTGATGGTCATAGAGTAGGAAATTGTACTGTCAGTGCAAATTCGTTATTTTACTTGATGCGAAAGAACAATCAGGTAGGTTGATGGCTAACTTTTTGCTGTAAATTTCCTCTTTGCAGTGAAGAAAGTAGATACTTTGAGGCACTACAAATTCAGTTTGGCCTTTGAAAATTCCAATGAGGAGGATTATGTTACTGAAAAATTCTTCCAATCTCTTGTAGCTGGTATTGCCTCTTTTTTATTCCCTAATCTAAAAATGCACACCCCTTGCGCCGTCTCATTTCTCTCTGTATCTCCCTTCTCTCCATGTACTCAGAAGCTCTAATATGGAGTATTAGATATACTGATATTTCTATTCAAGAATATTTTTTTTTTGTGACCGATCTTGAAATTATCTACTGAAAGGTTGAAACTTTATAAAGTTAACTTCTTCAAAATACAGCATAAAAGGTAAATGGTGTGAGGATTACTTTTGTTTGAGGTCCATAATATGTATATGTACTAGCATGTTATTATTTTTATAGAAATAATGTATGGCCTTATATGTGTGTCTGAAAAAATTATCTGCGTACACCAACAAGTTTAACCTAAGGACCACATCTTCTCCAATTTGAGGCAGAACCAATTAGTTACCAATTACAACCCCGTGAACTTGCAAATCTCTTATTTGCCAATAGAAACATAGGCCTACTTCTACGCAAAATATGTCATATGACCCCTTGGGTTAGTGCTAGGACATGATATAAAACATCCATATTGCCACCCTTAAGAAATACAGTGTTTCACTAAAGTATTTTGGTACAAAAATATATTTGACTGCCTGAATCGGATATTTTCATTTAAACAATAACATATCATAACATGTTCTAGAGGTCTATGGTCCTTTTGGAGTAAGTTATTAGTTATTCTCAAATATTATTTCAAGAATTACTTGCATAGCTAAAACAATCCTAAAAATGTGAATACAAGTTTGTTAAGAATGACCGAATTGAAGGAACTGAAATATCTAATAGCTTGGGGTCACATTTTTTATTGATTAAAAACTGTTGTAATTCCTCAAGTTGTACGTTCTTGTGAGGACACATATTCTTTGTGCCGATCAATTATGATAACAATGCCAGGTTTAAAGCATACTCCCCATAATGTTTAGGTTGGGTTCATCTTGTTTAAGATTAGTTATGCATGATTTTATCCAAATTTAGGTGGTGCTGAATGAAGACTCATATTTGTCTGCTTGAAAATCATTCAGATGTGAATTTTAACATATAAAATATAAACTTTTAGGATCTGTTCCTGTTGTGGTTGGTGCTCCAAATATCCAAGATTTTGCTCCTTGTTCTGGTTCTCTTTTACATATAAAGAAGCTTGAAGATGTTGAGTCAGTGGCCAAGACGATGAAGCACCTTGCTGAAAATCCAAGTGCATACAATCAGACCCTAAGGTGAGGATAAATACTAAGTACTATTTATTTTTTAATGGCAATTATGGGACCATAGGCTGACGGCAAATATTTTCTTCAATCTTCATTTTATTGTGTTCTATTTTTCTTAATGCTCATTTTTATCATTCAAATATTGGTTTTTTTTTTTTTTGCATCATGCTTTAATGTTTGTTAGGTGGAAATTTGAGGGTCCATCTGATTCTTTCAAAGCCCTAGTTGACATGTCAGCAGTTCATTCATCTTGCCGGTTGTGCATTCACTTGGCAACAAGTATCTATGAGAGAGAGGAGAAAGGTACAAACTTCACAAAACGTCCGTGCAAATGTTTGAGGGGTTCAGAAACTGTCTATCATGTATATGTACGTGAAAGAGGACGGTTTAATATGGAGTCTATTTTCTTGAGGTATATTGGAAACTATTATGTTCATTGCCCTGATTTATATTTCATATACATATATACTTGATGTTCTTATTGTTGCTTCTTGAGAATGACCTTTTAATTATGCTGTCAACATGCCGCATTGTACTCCTGCTTTATTTTGCCAAAAAGCCATGTTTTACCTCGTATTCCCTGTAGCCCAAAAAACGACCCTGATTGAAAAGTTTCTTTATCCGTCCTCAAAAAAGTTATATTTCATTCATTGGAGTTATTTTTATGGTAATTTGCTAAAAGAATTTGCAAACAAGTTTGATATGATAAATATAGTTAAATGAAAGAAAAAAATTATATGGCAAGTACAATTTCATGACTTCTAAGAGTTGCACCTTCTCATCACTTTTATGGCAATAAAGTACATCTTAAAGTTCACATTTGATTGATGCATGTGGTATAGGTACTCTTTAGCGTTTATTTTTTCCTCTGGGATCTTCCCAAATTTTGGTGGTGTCAAGTTTCAAATACCAGATCACCAGCTCTTTTTGATAGGTCAACTAATTTAACAATGGAGGCCTTCAAATCGGCTGTGTTAAAGAAGTTCCAGTCTCAGAAGCATGTTCCCATTTGGAAACAAGAAAGGCCCACGGTTCTGCGGGGAGGAGACGAACTCAGTGTGTACCGCATATATCCTCTTGGATTGACTCAGAGACAGGCGCTCTATACATTCAGATTTAATGGGGATAGTGAGTTAAGGAAGCATATAGAAAGCAACTCTTGTGCAAAGTTCGAAGTCATATTTGTATAATAAGATAAACTTCTAATTTTCATGTCATGTGACCTGATTAACTTTTAGATCAGTGTACTAGTGTAGGCCATAAATTTTGTAACCGGTTATTGACTTTATTAAGGTTGAGCCATCATGGAATCCTTTTGTTTTTTTCTTACACGAATATCAGGTTTATGTAATGAAGTTGTTTATGATAGACATAGACCTCAAATCTTAATCCTGTTATGCTTTTCCGGTTTTCCCTACTTTGAAATTTGAATTATAATATAATTTGCATTTCTGATTTCATACTGTCGCCACATGAAAGTATGAAACTCTCCCGCCTAATTACCCCATCAGCAGTCATAATCCCAATTACCCCATAATAGTTGGTGAATGGTGATAATGAGGTTTTTTGAAATCGTTAGACAATTGAAGATAAGTTTATACAAGGAATTTCTATGGATTCTTATTTCTTAACTTTATTGGTTTCCCAAGATATGTTCAGAGTTCAGCAACTTTTGTCAATGATTTTAAATAAGATTACTCAAAACTGTAAATCCGTTATCAGGCTATCAGCATGGATAATAGTGGAGACGTGGAGTTGATGCCGGTTGTGAATTGTCATGGACTCATTCAAACTTTTCATTATAGTGAATATAAGAATATATTTATAGTCACTTTAATAATAATTTTCATTCATGAATTTAATTACTGTTATGGTGAGAGTGTTGATAATGATAATATAATAACAAGAATTCCAACAACAATAATACTAATGTTGAAATAGTGGGTTTTCTTCTCGCACCAAGTACTAGGTGCGAGAAGAAAATGTAATTGACTCTTTGGCAATCCGCTAAGAAGAACAAGCGTCCCACATCGGAACTGCAGCCCCATTCCATAACAGCAGCCCCGTTCTTCTATAAATAAAGAGGAGCTTCATCCATAACTGCTCAGTCTGCTCGCTCTATTCACTATAGCTTCTTCGAAGCGGTTGCAAAAGGTGGGTATGAGGAGCAGTAATTATAGACGCGCCTCACGCTTAGGCCCGCTTAGGCAGTGCCTTTTGACGCATTTTAGAACACTGTTTGAGGTGATTCTCCATTATTATGATAATAGATTATCACAATGATTATAATTCTATTAAAGAAAATTGAAGTAGTATGTTATTAGTATAGATATACTCCGTAATATGTATTTTGATAATGTACTCCGTAATAGAACACTTCGTTGGAAATGCATATATTTCCAAATAGTTTTAATAAGGGAAAACTGTCATAGGTCCTCGAACTTTCATAAAAAGTTCAATTAAGTCCTTCTATAGGAGATTCTGTCTGGCCGTCGCGATTTGGGGCAATTCCCGGTGGATTTTTTTTATGAAATTTTTTGAGCATCTTATTCACCAAGTCTAGTTTACTCATACCAAATTTCAGCTAAAAATTCAATCGGGAACACATTCAAATTAATTCTTTAAGATAACTGCGCATTTTTGCATTCTCGAATTAATTTGAATGCGCTCCCGATTAAATTTTTAGCAGAAATTTGGTATGAGTAAATTAGACTTGATGAATAAGATGCTCAAAAAATTTCATCAAAAAATTCCACCGAGAACCGCCCCAAATCGCGACGACCGGACAGAGTCTCCTATTAAAGGACTTAATTGACTTTTTTATGAAAGTTTGAGGACCTATTTGACAGTTTTTCCTTTTAATAAAAACAACTATTGGGCACGGCGGCTTACACGCTCGTTTACTCTTCAAGTGTATTGTGTTTGTGATCACGAACTGTTGATTTTCATTTGTCTTGGTCTTTCATTGCTTTTTCTTTGATCGTTTGCTTTCTACTTTCATGAGCTTTTGTAATCTATTACTCCGTACTTTTAATAAAACCTGTTTTCAAAAAAAAAAAACAATTCATTTTCATTTTAATATAGGTACATGCCTATCTGATGAAGAAAAAGTCAGTTGTGCATATAAACGCACATAACACGTGGAACATCTCCAAGAGGCACTAGTCCTGCAAAAGAACAAGAACAATAATCCTCAAGAGCCAAGGACAAGATAAACATACGTACCTTTTGCTTCAACGAAAGGCCGCTGCCGCCTGCTGTCATGGCCTTCAAAATGGCCCCTCGCTCTGATTCCTCTATGCATTTCACGGCCGCCGCCGCCGCCGCAACCACCCAGCGTTCGAACTTATCTCTCTATAATTCGCCGACATGGCATTTATCTCTGCCAACTTCGTAGAACCATCTTTATCAAACTCTAAAAAGTTCATTAACCTGTCCAAGTCTCCTAGGCTGCACGCGCCTCCGCCACATGCAGCGGCGTCGCCGCCTTCCGGATCCGCAGGGGTTGATTCTGCAAGGCTAGAGCCCAGGGTGGAGGAAAAAGATGGTTACTTTGTGCTGAAGGAGAAGTTCAGGCAGGGCATAAATCATGCAGAGAAGGTTAAGATTGAAAAAGAGCCAATGAAATTGTTCATGGAAAATGGAGTTGAAGAGCTTGCAAAGATGCCATTTGAAGCCATTGAACAGTCAAAGCTCACTAAGGATGATGTTGACTCTAGGCTCAAATGGCTTGGCCTCTTCCACAGGAGAAAACATCAATGTATGTTCTGCTATATATCTTTTATGTTTTCTATGTCAATAGTTTCTTTCTCTTTCTTTTTGTCAAAGTACAAACTTACTGCATTAGAAACAGTCCTCTCAACTTAGGAAGATAATTCAAGATGATATAAGTCAGTTTATACCTATGTTACACGGAAATGCGAAAGTCATGAGGAAACGGGAAAAGGGAAACGTCATTGCCTCAAAAATGCTTATTTGGAGAGTTTCCAAAGAGTTTCTGAAACAAAAATGCACTCTTTCCCCATAGTTTCTGTGCTACATAGGTTTATACTCTTATATTTAGCGAGTATGGATTGACTTAACACTGATAGGAGGAGCTATCAGCTATATATGGTCTTCTTAGTGAGATATTTATATTGACCAGCATGGGAAATCTTAACACAGTCAATTAGCTAATTACTTAGCTCAACCATGCATCTCCTTTTAATATTGGGACAATTAATTCAAATTCGCAAACACCCGAAACTTCAATGTATGAAGTAGATATTGTGAGCTTTAAATTTCAAGTGATCTTGGCACAGTGGACATGTTTTTTTTTTCTATCACAAGTGTAAGTTCAAGATGCTAAGTGCAAACAGTTTATCTCCAAACATTTTGGGGTGAGCACTAAGTATCCTAAACTTACATTTGTCATCCTAAGTTTACATATCTTAAATAGACAATCCTCGTCAATGATGTTGAGATCAACTGTAATATAAAGTTCATTATATTTATTCACACAGTGAAATTTGAGTGCTAAACTCATATATCCTCTTAGTTTCAGGTATTTGAAATAGTTGTTCGTTTAATATTTCAAACTGAAACTCTTATTATACTTGAGTTTGAATATATGTATTATAATTTGAATGTGAAAATAGATGGACGGTTTATGATGAGACTGAAGCTACCAAACGGGGTTACAACTAGTGCCCAAACAAGATACTTAGCAAGTGTTATTAGAAAGTATGGGAAAGAGGGGTGTGCCGATGTCACAACGAGGCAGAATTGGCAGATTAGGGGTGTTGTGCTGCCTGATGTGCCAGAGATTCTTAAGGGACTCGAAGACGTTGGCTTGACAAGTTTGCAGAGCGGGATGGACAATGTCAGGAATCCAGTTGGGAACCCTGTTGCTGGTATTGATCCCGAAGAAATCGTAGACACGAGACCTTACAACAACGTTCTCTCCCATTTTATCACTGCTAATGCGCGTGGCAATCCTGCTTTCACTAACCTGTGAGACCAACATATTTTAGTACCTTTGTGTTTGAGACATTATAGTACATTATTCTTAAATCTTAATAGATTGGATCATCATTTAAGACGTCATCGGATTGAATTTTTTGTTGAGTTCAAGGTCACAGAAGCCTGTAAGTGTTGCTTTTATTTGGGCTTACTATACCTGACACTATTGACTATCTAGTTTTTTAGTATTACAAGTTAGCCCCTTGATCAGCCAGTGTTTTAGCTCACACACTTTTAACACTGAAAGTTTATAAAGGATAATGTTATTAACCAGAATTGTGTTGTGTGATTTTATTGAACTTCGTGTTACTAATGCACTTAATAGTTAATAGGTTAAAATATTTTAAACTTCGGTTAAAAATAAAAAGAAAAGGGAATTAAATTACCTTAAAGATTACTTAAGGTAACTTAAGAAATCTCCAGGGCCATTTAATAATTTGATCAAACCTTTAGCGAGATAAATGTAATTAAATCTTGTATATTTATAAGTACTCAGATATGAGATTTATTCTTTGACATTCTGTGCAGGCCAAGGAAATGGAACGTTTGCGTAGTGGGTTCACATGATTTGTATGAGCATCCCCACATCAATGATCTTGCATACATGCCTGCCATTAAGGACGGGCAGTTTGGTTTTAACCTGCTTGTGGGTGGTTTTTTTAGCCCGAAACGGTGTGCCGAAGCAATCCCTTTGGATGCTTGGGTTCCTGCAGACGATATTCTCCCGATTTGTAGGGCTGTACTCGAAACTTTTCGGGACCTTGGCTCTAGAGGGAACAGACAGAAAACAAGAATGATGTGGTTAATTGATGAACTTGTAAGTTTTCTCATTTTTTTTAATTTTCTTCTGCTAAGGATAAAATTCATACTTGTAAAGGGGTAGCCTAAAAATCATAGGAGGCTACTTTAATAAATATTAAGTGTATCGATTTAGATGTTTACCAAATTTATATCTGTGTGATACCAAGTTAAGACTTGAGACGTAGCTTAGGATCTTATGTATGTGAGTTTATCTTTTTAGTTGGCCTAAGTTGACTTAACATAGCTATTAACGTTGCTATTCTAACCCGAGGTTTTATAAACTCATATAGATCTTTTTTATGTTCCTACAGGGGGCTCATAAGTCATAAGGTCTACCTGATCTTTTTTAATATAACTAATTGGTCACTTTGGTTAATCTATTTGATAAGATGGGCTTAACTACACACATTTCAAAATGCAGGGAGTTGAGGGGTTCAGAGCAGAGGTTGTGAAGAGGATGCCACGGCAAGACCTGGAGAGGGCTGCTGCACAAGATTTGATTAAGAAAAACTGGGAGAGAAGAGAATATTTGGGAGTCCATCCACAGAAGCAGAAAGGCTATAGCTTTGTTGGGCTCCACATCCCGGTGGGACGGGTTCAAGCAGACGAAATGGATGAGCTTGCCCGTTTATCCGATGACTACGGGTCAGGCAAACTACGGCTCACTGTCGAACAAAACATCATAATCCCAAACATTGAGAACTCCAAGATTAAGGCACTGCTTAAAGAGCCTCTTCTTCACAGCAACAGATTCTCACCCGATCCTCCTATTCTGATGAAAGGGTTGGTGGCTTGCACCGGGAGCCAGTTTTGCGGGCAAGCCATAATAGAGACCAAAGGGCGGGCCGTGAAGATAACCCAGGAGGTTGAGGAACAAGTCTCGGTCACCCGGCCTGTTCGGATGCATTGGACGGGCTGCCCAAACAGCTGTGGGCAAGTTCAAGTTGCGGATATTGGATTCATGGGATGCATGACGAGAAATAAGGAGGGGAAGAGCGTGGAGGGTGTGGATGTTTACTTGGGAGGGAGAATTGGGAGTGAGTCACATTTGGGAGATGTGTATAAGAAGGGTGTTCCCTGTGAAGATTTAGTGCCTTTAATTGTTGATCTTTTAGTAGAGCACTTTGGTGCTGTTAGAAGGGAGAGGGAGGATGATGAACCTTAATTCATTACATTTCTCTAATTAAACCGTGGGTGTTTTCTCTTTTCTATGCATATAGTTAGTAGTATACTTGTATAGGTATAATAACTTCAATTGGTAGGGACAATGCAAAATCAAAACTCTGGGTACAAGATTATCATATTGTGTTGTTACAAAATGCTGGTTTAGAGCTACATTGTGATAGCATGAAAATTATCTAACTTGTTAGGGCTCTAACGAAATGAGTACGAGCCTGAGTTGAACTTCGTTTGTGACCCTTGGATGTAAAAGTTTGTTTGTGACAACTAGGGGTGTAAACGAGCCGAGCCGAACCCTAACTCACATATGCTCAAACTCGAGCTCGAAATTATTCTACATGCTCGAGCTCGACAGCTTTGCCTAAAGATCGCGAGCCGCTCAAGATCAACTCGAAAGAGCATTTTAATCGCAGATCTCGCAAATGGGCTTCCTGTCTTATGCCGTAATGGTTTGTGGGAGATGAGCCATACTTTATAGATGGATAGCACGGGTAACGTTTCCTCACTTTCCGGTGTGGGAAATGGTTTGTGGGAGATGAGCCATACTTTATAGATGGATAGCACGGGTAACGTTTCCTCACTTTCCGGTGTGGGAAAGATAATCTTAGAGGTTTAAAATATAAACGTATTATGAAGAAGTGGACTTGCGAACTACAAAAAAATGTCAAAATGGGGGATTCGAACTTATTTTGCCAGCTCTTCTTTAAACCTGATGATGAATCACCAACTGGTCTACACCCATGATTGTTGCAATGATGATCTCAATTTATTTTTATCATTAATTTGTATGGAGTATTAGCTAATAAGAAAATAAATACGTATTATTATAGATTAAATTACTACATACGGTTTTAATAATAAAAAATACTACGTATTATATTTAATTATTATTACATTATTACAATATCATAAGTATAGCTGTATTAGAAATAGAGTCCTCCTAAATAGAATAAATATTCCAAAAATATTATATATATATATATAATTATTATGCATAATATATTTATATACAAAGCTCGCGAGCCGGCTCACGAGCCACCCGAGCCTAAAATAAATAGGCTTGACTCGAGCTTGTTAAGTATTCGAGTCGAGCCGAACTCGAGTCGAGCTGAAATATGACGAACTCGAGTCGAGCATTTTCCGAGCGATCTTTGAGCGGCTCACGAACGGCTTGGCTCATTTGCACCCCTAGTGACAACACTTCTGTGGGATAAATTTCATGAATAGAAGACTTTTTTCTTGAATAGAAATAGATACATGGAAAAATGTGTCGTATAAATTGGTGTTAGACCGTTAGACCCTTTGATTTTTTATATTGCAAAATGACAAATAAAGTTGTATTGAAGGCCATGGAATAACCAAGTTGAATTATACATCATTTTTAACATGATAGTATTATATTTCAACAATTTTTTGACATGATGTGTAGCATTCGACATGATCCTGGTTCACAACTAAAATTCTGACCATTTTATAGTATGAAAAGTATAAAGAATGTTAATGCAAAATCACAAACGGTGCAAGCGTGAGGTATATATAATTCAAATCATGTCTTTCTTTCAGAAAGTCTAATAATATTATTTAGAATGATCTTAATGAGTTCAAAAGTAGATCTATAATGCATACTCCCTCCGTCCCCTTAAGTTTGTCCCGTTTTACCTTTTTCGTCCGTCCCACTAAGTTTGTCCCATACCATATTTGGTAACATTTGAGTGGTTAGAATTCATTCTTACTTTATTTACACTTTATCAATTCAATACCAACCACACAATTCCACTTTTTCTTAAAAACCACACCACACCCCTCCGTCCCAAACTTAGGGGGACGGAGGGAGCAGATGTCTATTACTTGAAACCGACATTGAATAATCTATTTTTGATTAAAAATATTAATTTGAACGAACTAAATAAAATTGACCAGTGGTGCACCAGACCCATTTCATCAATGCAGCAGTGCCCCGCTTTAAAAAATCTTTGGGTCCGCGGTCCGCGGTCCGCCACCGAATACGTATGCTACCGCGGGTCTTTAATACTTTCTCCATTGCAGCATTTTGATTTGCAAAAAGCATATTACAAGTTCGATTAGGGATATCGTTTATATCTTAAAAGAGCAGAATCATACTTTACAAACTAGAAAATTGAGATGACAATAACATACGGACAACAGAGAATTTAAATACACTACTTCCGTAGGCTCAAGGTTCCCATGACAAAACGACAATTAATGATAAATGTGATTCAGTTTTTTTACGAAATCATTAATGATAAATGTGACATGATAGATTTATTATTTGTAATATTTGATGATTAAATTATAGAGTGTTAATTATTATTTTTCTAAAATAGAAATGATAACATGCGATGTTTGAAAAGGAAAAGTGAAAAACTTAAACTCAGATAGAGAGAATACACGCTATGATTATTTATTAAACATGTTAACAACGTTTTTGTGTGAGCTTTATAGCATTGCCTTTTGCCTTTTGGCTTTAGTAGATCACGCACGTTTAAGGTGGACCAATTGGCCTATTCATGACCTTTTAAAAAAAATTGGCCAATTCATGAGATTTCCCACACATCTCATAGTGTAAGTTATCTGTTTTGCACTAGAGCTCTAAAACACGTGACATTTATTTTAATCTCACTAATCAAATGAGCAACAAAAAACACTTCACGAGTCTAAGTTCGGGTTTTCCGTTTTCACCGAACATTATGGTAAGTGGTAACTTATAACCCTACTGTTATTGGACAAAAGCATACACATATCAATATTTTTTTGGGATATCTCAAATAAAAGTAAAAAGTGTGAAATTTTAAAAAAATCACGATATTCCCCCTCTAAATAGTCGTGCATTATGGTTATTTAAAAAAATGAAGTAATTGAATCTATTGAAATTTTAGATATTACAGCCTAAAGGTAGAGTTGAATATGTCTGTGTCGTGAAAACTATTTGGTGAAATAAAGACAAATAAAAAAGACAAATATATATCAAATGGTGAACTATTTAAGTCCATATATAATTTCAACCAAAAAAATCAATCATATTTTATACCGGGTACATTTTTTTTAATTATTTTGATTGTGCAATAAAAATAAGTTAACGTTTGATAAAGAAAAAGATTACGAACTGTGACTAAAATTATTTGAATTGATCCGATTCTAGATTATCGATTCGAGCCTTGCACTGTTGCACAGATTAAAATCTGAGTTGCACAATTGTTCCCGGCATTACCAATATGAAATTCAAATATAAAGTATATAATGAAAAAGATAGAGCTGTATATTTTAGATCTACAGGACTGCAACTTAGAAGAAATTAGGATGGAGTTGCATACTCCAATCAAAGACAAAAGCTTTATCTATTAGGGTGTATTTGCAAAGGATAAAATAATGTTTTTTTTTGTCTTTTTGCCTTAAAGGATATGGAAGTATGTTTAATTTGAAATTGTTTTTCACTTTTCCTGTTATGTAAAATGTATTTTATCGAACATTTTCATTTTTTTAATTTTTAAAATTTACTTTTTTCCTAGTATACAAGTATTTAATATAGAATATTTTCTCAAAAATCAATTTGAAAAATGACTTTTTAAAATAGAACCATCACAAACATTATCACCATTAGGACAAAATTTATTCTTCCCCATTTTTTAGTTATATAAATAGAATAATCCAAAAGAGTTGTTATTTTTGGATTATGATAATCTAATGATCCTAGGCAATTTTATATATTACTTTTGTTCCAAGAAATACTTTTTCTTTGCAAAATCATTCCAAGAAATACTTCTCACTTTGACTTGGCATGCTTACTAAAAAAGTGGAAATAAAGTGAAAATGAATGATTGTGGTTTAGTAAGAAAAAAGTAAATGAGTATTTGTCAAAAAAAATCAAAAAGAGAAATAGGAAGAAATTTTTGGACATTACAAAATAGTGAGTGAAAATAATTTTGTCGGAGGAGTAACAACTTTTTGGTGAAAAAGTTGGTTGATAAGTTTGATAAGTCGAAAAAACAGTGTTGTCAAACGGCCTCTAAAGTTCATATTAATTGCTTTTTCCGTAACATAAAAATCTTCGCACTTTCCTTTTTCGTCCGTAACAAAAAAATATTCTCATTTCCAAATCTTCTCATCATACCCTCAATAATTCTGAAAATAATAACTATTACAACTACTTTTTTTGGATTTATCCTACATTCCATCACACTATTCCACTATTTTCTCATCATACCCTCAATATTTCATATCCTCTTTCACTATTCTTAATCTACCTACTTTTGAAATGGGAAGATTTTTAAGTTAGTTTACAACAGTGTTGTCAAACGGCCTCTAAAGCTCATATTAATTACTCTTTCCGTAACATAAAAATCTTCTCACTTTCCTTTTTCGTCCGTAACAAAAAAATATTCTCATTTCCAAATCTTCTCATCATACCCTCAATAATTCTGAAAATAATAACTATTACAACTACTTTTTTTGGATTTATCCTACATTCCATCACACTATTCCACTATCTTCCCATCATACCCTCAATATTTCATATCCTCTTTCACTATTCTTAATCTACCTACTTTTGAAATGGGAAGATTTTTAAGTTAGTTTACGACAGCCGGGCCAACCGCGTAAAAGAGGTCTACCCTCCACGTGTCACATCTAACAGCTTAACTTATAGGAAAAAGCTATTGGTACCCCAAAATGGGATACCCCATTTGTCCCCCACCCTATTGGGTGGCCACAAATGAGGCAACTCATTTAAGTGGGGCACCACTTAAATGAGTTGCCTCATTTGTGGCCACCCAATAGGGTGGGGGACAAATGGGGTACCCCATTTTGGGGTACCAATAGCAAAATCCTAACTTAAAACCACAACCGTGTGAACGCGATGTTGACGTCAGCTCTCCAAATTATTCCATGTGACACCTGACAGTCTATCCAACCTGTCTTACCACCTCATCCCCAAAAGTCAAAGACTTTTGTATATAGTCAAACCTTTCCAGGTGACAGGTCACCCCCCACGTGTGAACACAATATCTGGTCCCACTTAGAGCAACTCCATCGCTGGGGCGTGTAGTCTATTTAAAATTTGCCACGTCATTAAATCATGCACTACGAATGTATTAACTCGTCCAATGCATCTAGTCTTTGATTTGATTTTGCTGAGCTGGAAAAAAAAAACTGAACACTGTGGACAGAACCTTTCCGAGTGTAGAAAGCCTTTGAGACATGCTGACTCGTCAAATTCACGGAAATAAAAGGCACGGTTATAAACAAAATAGAGGGAAACGAAATAAATTCAGGGAAAGAAAAGGCGCGACTATCAAAAAAAATAGTGGGAATCGAAATTATTTTATAGGCTTTACCGGCATCTATATAAACCCTCCTTTGTTGCAGAGGATTTTCTCCACATAACTGAAGTGTTATCTGCTCGAAGGTCGGCGATTCAGGTATGACACCTTTTCCCACTTTAACTATTTCATCGAGAAAGAAATGAATTCACAGTAATTGGAGTAGTAGCTTTTTTTACCCGCTATTTATTTGTTGCTCCACTCTTGATCACTATTCACATTAAATTTAAGTATGATAGGGTGAAATAGATCTGATGGAATAATCAATGAGTTATGTTTAATATTAATCGGTACTTAGTGGTAGCAAAATATATATAAGGGAAGCATCACATAAATTCTCCGTAGAATATGTTCAGAGCTTGTTTAAGATTAGGTTTGCTTGAGAGGGAAGTCCCTTTTGTCCAATTGCAATCTCAAACGATTTTAGTGTTCCCAAAACTGAATAATCATACCTGATATTCAGATAATATTACTCATATCATCAACACAGAACTATTTGATGGGTTATGTTGATTGTTTAGTTATTTTGTTTTGCTTCCTTTGATATATGAGTCGGTGAATCTATTTTGAGTTACAGGCCAAATAGAATGATGAAAAGGATTTATGAGATTATTCTCAATGCGTAGGATTGACTTAATCACCCATATTGATAAATACTTTTTGCTCTATTAGTGTGGTATTGTATATTTTATCCAAATATATTTATCTTCATACTTGCTGAATTGTTTTCCATGGGGGCTCTTAAGGAATCCGAAGAGTTTCAGTGATGTTTTTGTGGTTATATTTTTTAGGCAGAAGTATATGGAAATATCCTTGTTGACAGCTATTGTGCACTTTTGAATCGCTATTGTGCTACTAGTTTTATATCAACATGGGAAAACATCATCCTTTTACGGAGTATAAAAGTTTGCTTTTTCATTTCTGCAGCTATATTTTATTTCATTTAGATTCTTTGTGCAGCTGCATTAATGTTTTTTTCATTTCTGTGTGATTCTAACTTGTTTAATGTTTGCTTTTCATTTCTGTGGCTAGATATGCAAATTAAAAGGGAAACTGATTGTTCAAAGTACAGCTTTGATATATTACGACTTACGAATGATCTAAAATCCTTTAGGAGGCAAAAAAATATTCTGATTGTTTTGTTGATAATATACAGATACTGTTTCGACATGGATCATGGATCTGATCAGCTTCCTAGCTCCCAACATCCTAATTTTGTTAATCTTTCTGCTCAAACTCAGAACCAGTTTACATCAATAAGCCCCCAGTTTCACCCTTCATATCAATTTAATACAATGAGTGGTTCTTGTCCTCCATATACTACCTTACCTTATGGAACTCCTTTCCCCTTCCAAAATCTTTTGAACACTCCCATTGCCCCAAGTGGAGCCACAGAGACTCAAACTGTAAGTGGAACAGGGAGAAAGAAAAAGAAAGGTGTCAATAAAAGTTCCAATGACACTGAATCCGCAACGGCTAAAAGAGATTTTAGTTCTGAAGAAGACATTGCATTAACAAATGCGTGGTTGCATATCTCTATGGATGCTGATGTTGGTAATAATCAGAAACTAACAGCTATGTGGGAGCGAATCTCACAAGTATGGAAGGATAACCTTGGAGAGAATTACAAAAAGGCTAGAAGTAGTAACAGCTTACAATGCCGATGGCAAAAGATACAACAGGCGGTGAACAAGTTCCATGGCATTTATGAAAAACTTGAAAGACATCCACAAAGTGGTTCTAATGCAGAAGATATGGTCAATATTACCTTACTTTTATATTTTATTTTTATTTATTTTTTAATAATTCATAGGGAAGCATCAGTACTTCATAACTGCTATATGTGATTCTTGTGTTTTCCAGAAAAAGAAGGCATTAGGGATGTACGAGAGACTTCTGAGTGATAAGAAGAAAAAGGAATTCAAGTATATACACTGCTGGGAACTTTTGATAAAGAATGCAAAGTGGTGCACTAGCCAGCTTACGAAGTCTTGTGGACCAGATAAGGAATCACTTGGCAACAAAAACACACCAGTGGAAAATGATACCACACCTAACACGAAAAATCAGTCTATGGAACCTGAAGAATTACGAGCGGATGAAATTGTGCGCCCACTGGGAAGGAAAAGCTCCAAGGAAAGAAAGAGAAAGCTTAATGCAGAACATGGAGTTATCGACACATTGAACAAATTGCAATGTACTTTAGAGAAGCAAATCCAGTTTAATATGGCGGAGTTGGAGTTGAAGAAAGAAACCCAGCATAAAGAATATGAATTCAGAGAGCAGGTGATGAAAAAGGAGCTAGAACTAAAAGAGAACAATCAGAAATTGAAGGCAGAATCCCAACTAATGAAGAGGGAGGAGAGCGAAAGGAGAGAGAGAGCACAAATAAGATCTGATCAAGAACGTATTTTGAGCCTCGACTTAAGTAGACTGTCACCAAATGTGCGAGCGACATATGAAATTCTACAGGCTCAAATATTGAAGGAATGGGGACTTTCTAGCATATCTAGAATCTAATTATATTAGATACTTATTTAGTCTTTTCATATAGTCTATTCATTTAGTGTTTTCATATTTCAGTGTTTCATTTAGTCTTTTCATATTCCAGTGTTTTTAGATGCATCACTAATAAAATATATGAACAATGTTTGATGGTTTGTTGCAGAATTAAGTCACTGTTGTTTCTTTAATATGATTGATCATATATGATAGCTTTTTCTCCTTTTTCCATCCACATAAACTAAAGAAAGCTACATCTGATACATTTCTTACAAATGTTTACAAACCATGTGTGAGTAGATAATTTAGTTGAAACATCCTATTCAAAAGTTGCTGCAAATGGATGTTTACTGAGTTGTAGCATTGCAGTATAAGTCTTTTCCTTGAGATAAATGAGGAATAATTTTGGACGAGACCAGTAACTAAAATCCAAAGTATTATCGAGTAGTATGTAAATATTGACTTCTGGGTCTCTGCCAGTTTGGCCAGAATACTACTCTGAACAAAAACATGTCCTAAAACTACTAAGTTATTATAAAAAAAAGGGTTGCTCGAGAACTGAAAACGTTCAGAACTTCGTAGTTCATAATCACTAATACTAAGCATTAAAAATAAATTAGCTATTAAAAATAAGCAAATTCTAGCTATCACCAACTTGTGCACCATACACTTCCCACAAATGATTAATGAGATCCTTCTTTAATTCCCTGTGTAACCAAGTATCTTGTACTTGTTTTGTCCGATTGATCATCATTGACATAATCAAGGTGAAATCATGCTCCAGGGTAACACTTTCAGTTGATTCATCTCCCTCCGCCTGCCAATCTTCAGGATCAATGCCTTGAGTGCGTTCATTCTCTATTATCATATTATGTAAGATGATGCATGTCTTCATTATCTTTCCCAAGTCTTTAGCACTCCAAAGACGAGCAGGGCCCTTAACAATATGCCACCGACTTTGCAGCACACCAAATGCTCGCTCGACATCCTTTCTAGCAGATTCTTGTTTTTTCGCAAATAACTTTTCCTTAATAGATGAAGGTTGAGATATTGTTTGGATGAGAGTAGCATAATGCGGATATATCCCATCAGCTAAATAATAACCCATGTTATACTCATGACCTTGAACTATGAATTTACATGGCGGAGCAACACCATTAATTAGATCATCAAATAATGGTGATCTATCTAAAACTGTAACATCGTTGTTACTACCCCGCCATTCCAAAGAAAGCATGCCAAATCCATAAACTCTGTGAAGCTACAATTTCTAAAATCAGAGTTGGGACTCGTTTAAAACCATTTGTGTGAGTACCATGCCAAGCAGTTGGACAATTTTTCCATTGCCAATGCATGCAATCCAAGCTACCAAGCATGCCCGAAAAGCCTCGAGTCTCTCCTTCTTTTAGGAGCATTCTGATATCATCTATGTTTGGTTTTCTCAAGTATTTTGCTTCATAAATTCCTATAATAGCACCACAAAAGCGCTTCAAGCTTTCAATTGCTGTAGTTTCTCCAATTTGAACATATTCGTCAAGAAGATCAGCTGGACAGCCATATGCAAGCATGCGTATGGCAGCTACCATCTTTTGCAGTGGGCTCAGTCCAATATTTCCAACAGCGTCAACCTTTTGTCGAAAATAGGTATCAAAGTTCTCAACATCTTGTAAAATTCGGGTGAATAACTCAATATTCATTCGGAATCTACGACGAAAAAGTTGTGGCGTGTACTTTGAGTTTTCACCTTTGAAGTAGTCGTTTACTATTAGGTCATGACGCTCTTTCCTATCACGACGAATATAACATCTACCTGATGACAACCCTTCGAGAGACCATTTTGCAGCAGACACCATTGAAGAAACAATCAAGGCTTCATCTGAACGACTTTCGATGTTAAGAAAAGTATCTTTCTGCAGATCATGTGTTAATTGTTGGGTAAGTGAGAGTTCATTATCACTCGAAGATGAACTGCTAGAGTCCGATTCAAAATTTGGTGTAGCCATATCCTTAACTTAAAACCTGTTAACGAAACATCATTCAAAACTAATGAAATTAAAGATATAAATACAAATACAGATAACACACACATGGATATATAGAGAAGATAACACATACATATATTGACTTTATTCAGACACACATATATAGAGAGAATTGATCTCCTCATGCAGTATGTACTCTATATATACATATATATTTATAAAATGATGCACACTTTGAAGTTCGAATTACACACACAAATAAAACAAAAACTCCTTATTATATGATATAATATACAGAGAGACTTTATTCATATACGTAGTATATATATTGTATACACACACTTAGATATTTTTTATTCAAATGATGCAATATATACACAAAGAAATCAAATTCAAAGAAAGCTTGAGCACACAAGATATGGGAGCTGCTGCTAGTGTTGGGAATCACCACATAAACAAACAAAACAACCACACGTTCCCATTGCATTCGAATACTCTGATTTGAATTATATATATGCAATCGGAATACAAATATATTATCGATATTGGTGTCAAATTCAACCAAACTTTGATTTTCAATTGCCGCAAGAAAGAAACTAAATAGAAGAATCAAATCACCTATTTTGCTGCTCTTGAATGTTATAAGGAATTAGAGCAATTATAAGTTAGAGATTATATATTACAGAAAAATAGAAGCTATGTAATCCGGTAATCCTAGTCAAGGTTGAACGGGTATCATCCCGAAGTTTAATTTGAAAAAAAAAGAGCTGCGAAGTTAGTTTCCATAAAATCGCAGGAATCGTTATTCCACCTGGACACTCTTTGAGTCGTTAGACTTTACAGCATTGGAAGGTTTTTTATTTTATCAATATCCGGTCACTACACATTATATTATGTGGATTAGAAGGCCTTTTATTTATTTGACAATTGGCACACTTTTTTTAGACTAGACATTCTCCCATTAAAGATGCTCTTATATACACACTATCCTATATCACTCCCTTCTCCGCTTAAGACCGGCCAAAAACAGTGCTTCGATCATGCAAAGGTTGACCGACAGGCTCAAACAAACCCAGGGATTTTTCACAGCCCCCGCGCCGCCAGCGAGTCTTACCAGCGATAAGGAGGATTCCGTCATGGTCTCCGCCCTCAAGTGTGTCATAGATGGAAGCGCACCGCCGGCGCCGCCAATGGTGTCTTGTCCTGCCGTTGTTCCGCCGGAGTTCAGCGAAGGTGAAAAGAGGAAGAAAAAGGCGGGAACGAAATCAACGAATAATAAGAAGAGTTACAGAGGAGTGAGGCAGAGGCCGTGGGGAAAGTGGGCGGCGGAGATTCGGGACCCTCGGAAGGCGGCGAGGGTTTGGCTCGGGACGTTCCGAACCGCGGAAGACGCCGCCCGAGCCTACGACAGAGCCGCCGTTGAATTCAGAGGTCCGAGAGCGAAGCTCAATTTCTCCTTCTCCGATTACACCTCTCCAAACACGCCGCCGGAGCAGAGCACGTCAAGCGCCTCTTCAACGTCATCTCATCCCCGGCAGCAAGGCGACGAGGAGTGGTCAGCGGCGGGTACGTGGAATGAAACAGGAGTATGCGAATTTTTAGGAGACCAGGATATTCAGGAATGGCTAATGATGATGGATTTTAATACATCAGCGATTGCTTCCTTTTCGCAATTTGGGCTATTTGTCTAGTTAAGAGACAAATTTCATACATTTTTTTTTATTAAATCCCATGCAGTTGTCCGAAATTATATTGTACCTACAGAATAATTAAAATATTTATATACTCCATATAATTTATAATTTTTATACTTTTATGATTTATTTGGAATAGGGAAAATTTGTATATGATATTAATATTCAAAATAATTTGTATTAAAAGTATTATTGATTATCGTTCACAAAAAAAATCAATTTGACAAACTTTTTCAGTTGTGTAATAATCAATAAAAGTAAATATAAAGTTATTTTTCTGTTTGAGTCTAATGAAATGTACGTGAAAAATATTATATTTAAAATGTATATATCAAGAATAAAATTGACAAATTGATAGTAACTTGATAATGGTTTAATTCTCTCTTAAACATACCCCATTCATTCTAAATTGATTTGTAAAGTCAAACATTTTTTGGTCAATCAATATTAAATTCTCCATATTTATAATTCGTTCAATTTTAATATTACAAAGTACATTTTCAGGAACTACACTAAAATCTTTATTAAATTGCAAAATTTAAATTAGGATAAAATTAAAAATTAGTATCCTAATGTTGGAAAAATGTGTTAAAATTGCATTAAATGGTCATTTTGAGGCAATTTTTGAGTGGGGTCCACTTCCGATTTGGGTTGGGTCAAAGTGGTTTCGGATTGTCTTTGCTTAGGGCTACAATTCGATATATGGTACTGATGGAGTATATGATCCAGGACCCCCTGACCCACATACTCATGCAATCCAGACATTCAGTGGAAGCCCTCGGCAGCACCTCGGCCATGATGTCCTCAGTACCCCTCGGCTATGATGCCCTCGGCACCCTCGGGCACCCTTCGGCACCCCTCGACTATTATGCCCTCGGCACCCCTCGGCTATGATGCCCTCGGCAGTACCCCTTAGTACCCCTCGGCTATGTCATGCCCTCGGCCGTATGAAGCCTTCGGCCATACATGAAGCCTTCTGCCATACATGAAGCCTTCAGCCATACATGAAGCCTTCGGTCATACATGAAGTCTTCGTCCATACATGAAGCCTTCGGCCATACATGAAGCCTTTGGTCATACATGAAGCCTTCGGCCATACATGAAGCCTTCGGCCATATGATTCAGGCCGAAGGGTCTATGCTCTACGAAGCTTCCTCTAGAGACAAGCAACCACCGCATTCAATGTGGCGTCACATCCACCCACCGCATTTAATGCGGTGCACATGCGAGTGTCGGTGCCCACCCACCGATTGAGGTGACCCCTCGGCCGTCAGATTGTTGACACGTGTACTCTCATCGCACTTATGGCTGCTATAAATAGCAGCCCTTATTCCTCTTGTAAAGGAGAACAGAACATCTCGAGTTCATTAATACAATCGACTCTCTCTCCTACTTGTTTGCTCTGACTTCTCTCTAGGTTATTCCCGCAATAACCCCTCGGATAAGCTACCCCCCGGGTACACAATCCATCAGGTACGCTCAAAACGGATAACGGGTGAATGAGAAATTGATTCTCGAAGTTCACTCGTTGAAATGGAGAAAAACTAGGAAAATGTGGATTTCTAGTGTGGTTTTTTTCCCACACCGGAAAAACCCAAGGGAATTTGAACCCTTTATAAAGGGAAACCCCCCTTAAGGAATTAAGATTCCTTAGGGTAAAGGCTCTCTCACGCGCGCAGGGGCGGTGCAAATCAAATCCCGAACGAATCAAATCCTGAAACCGGAGAACAAATAGCGCGACTTGCGTGAATGGGCGACCTGCGGACACGAATGTCGTCCGAAAATCTATCTTCAAAAGATAACGTTAACTTTTGTTCTTCCAGGTAGCCCATTCAATGCCCAACGTTCATATGCACGTTTTGGACAGTTTTTATGGACGAATCAATGTCAGCATGCTAGACATTGATGTCCAACGTTCACACACCATTAAAACTGGCCATTAACACATGCAAATCTACCCCTATATAAGGGTGCATGACATATGTTTTACAACAGGATACACTTCATGCATGAACTTCACCGTCGCTACTCTAACTGAAAGCGGTTTAGTGCTTGGTTCTCATTCGTTGGAACTATTCGGTTGAGTGCTCAACGAATAGCTCGTAGTCATCGTATCTTGGGAAACGGTCATTGCAACGCTCCTAGCACCCCGGGAGGTAACGAATACGTTTTAAGGAAATCGTGCGTAACACGAGCTTTGACTTTTTCTGCTTCATCTATTTTTTGTTTTTGTTTAGTCATTTTATTTAATTAATTTTTATTAATGAATTTTGTTTGTTTTCCGAAACATAGCCAACACCTAATTAAGTGAACATGAAAATTAATGAGTAAACAAATACTTTTATGATTTTTTTCTATATGGAACATTTTGATATAATTTTAATATTCAAAATAGTTTCTATAAAGAGTTGAATTTGCAAAACTATTTGGAAAACTAATGAGTAAACAAATACTTTTATGATTTTTTTTCTACAGGGAACATTTTTGATATAATTTTAATATTCAAAATTATTTCGTGTTAAAATGATTATTATTCAAAAAAAATTAATTTGACAAATTTTTTATACTATCTAAATTAAATACGAAGTATGTTCTTCCTATGAAGTATCACGTTGGCTGCACAGATCGAGTCGTCGAGCATACCTGGCCAAGACCGGAAAACCTGAGCCAATCACACCCAAATTTTAATGGTATCTTCTGTCTAATGATTTTACATTTTTACCAGTTTCGGTTTGACTGGTTGGACCAGAATTAATATGTGCGGAGTATTATACTACGTATTATTTTAGAAAATATCAAATGAGAAACATCTCTTAAATAAACTGAAAAATGTGAACTATTCCTGTATTCCACACCATCCTAATACTGCACAAATGTCCATCTATAACGTCTGATTGATTCAAAGTCGCGTTGTTCATTAATTGCTTTTCTATTGTTTTAACTAGCTTTAAATTTTTTCCGTGATCAAATATAAACATGGCTTATTGTAAGAACAAATACTTACCCCAATGTGAGCACATTAATGAATTGAAGTTTGTTCGTTGCAGTTTTATCACGGTGGCACTTTGATATAACTTGACTTTGCCA